TATAAGAAAAAACCATCAGAATCGAAACAACAGTAAGTAACTACCAAGACTTTGAAGATATTCTCACGACAGCAATTGAAAAGTTCTTTCCAGAAAAAATATGCAGAACAAACGTACAGAAACCATGGATTAATGAGAAAATTTTTAGAGAAATCGATAAAAAAAGAGTACAAAATCAACAACATAGAATTAAAAAATGTAAAAGAACAGAAGGACCTAGGTGTATATGTAACTAACGATCTAAAATAGGAAACACATATAGGACACATAGTAAAAAAGGCCAACCAGATGTCCTACTTGATGAAACTAGCCTTTACAAACCACTCCATTAGCATGATAAAAAAGCTTTACACTACTTACATCAGACCCAAGCTAGAATATGGCCATACAGTGTGGAACCCTTACTATATTAAAGACATCGAACTTTAGGAGCGAGTGCAACCTAGAATAACTAAAATTCCACTTGAGATTAGACACTTACCTATCTTACGAGACCAGGCTACAGAAATTCAATTTAACAACACTGAAGCAACGAAGAGAAAGAGGTGACCTAATAGAGACCTACAAAATTCTCAGCGGTTACTACTTGCCGGACATTATAATATCAGATATGTACAATTTAAATTTAAATCAAAACCGCAATCTCAGAGGACACCACCAAAAATTAAAAAGAGAAAGGGCCCTACTGCTCGGAAGAAGGAACTTCATAAGCAACCGTGTTGTATACCAGTGGAATTCTTTACGTGAAGACACTATAAGTGCACCTAACAATAATGTATTTAAAAATAGACTAGACAAAAACCTAGAAACGTTGAATAATGCCACAGGGCATTATTTGTAACTTCTCATACATAAGACCAAAACACAGACAATTTAAAGCAATAGACTCATCGGACACCAACCGCTTCTTACTGCTATACTGATAATAATAATAATAATAAAAATATGTAATTGATATTCTAGGAACATCGCTGCTCCCTGATTTTACATCCTGGACGCTGAAGACAGGTAGATGAATTACGTGTCTTACAAGTATTTCTTTGAAATTTGTTTTAGTATTTTTTTTTTAAATATAGTATGTAAGATTCAGATAAATAAGACAATTTCAAATTCTCTTATTTTTTGAAACACGAGGAAGACAGATGCACTGAAGAAGCTAGAAAAACAAGAAATTAAAATACCACAGACAGCCATTGAACCAACTCTTATTGAACTAAAAGAGAGAGAATATCGTGCCACCAACGTTTTAATATTTGCAGTTGAAGAATCAAAAAAAAATAACCCTCAAGAAAAAGCAATGGATGATAGAGAGGTAGTTACAGTGTTATTTCCAAAAATGAATATTGCTCTGCCAGAAACAGCCAAATTATTCAAACTTGGTAGGGAGGCTCCCGACAAGAAAAGACCGCTTAAAGTTGTTTTTGCAACAAAAGAAGAAGCACTGCAAGCTCTCAAACGCAGAAAAGTACTTGAAGAAAAATAAACAGGTATATATGTGAAAAATGATCAGAGGCCAAGAGGAGGTTTATAAAGGATGTTCTTACTGAACTGGAGAAAAAAAAGGCCGAGGGTAAAACAAATTTAATTATAAAATACATAAATGGGGCACCTAAAATTGTCGAGAAAATTGAAAAAAAGTAAATATGTCTGGGGGGGTTGAAGTTATATTTTGGTATAGTAATTTAGGTTCAGTGGTTAATAAAATTGATGAATGAAAAGCAAGAGTTATGTCACCAAATCCCACTTTTATATTACTTACAGAAACATTGCTTCAAGAAAGATGGTGTAATAGCTTGATTAATTTAGATGGGTATACTGCATACTGTCAAGACCGGCAAAACCAAAAATGTGGGGGTGTGCGTATTTTAGTTAAAAACCAAATTACATATATAAATTGTAGCATCTCCAGCAATTACAGAATGGAAGCACCTATTGATGCAGTTTGGTTAGATGTGCAAATAGGAAGTATAAAAATATCCCTTGCATGCATTTATAGGCCAACTACTACGACCTGTGAGGAAGCCAATACACTTATGACAAATACTATAAAAAAGACCTACACCCGAAACCACCTCATTTATATTGTGGGAGACTTCAACTACCCAAACATAAATTGGGAAAACCATATAATTCCACCTCCAGACAAAAAAAAAACACTGGCATTTATGGACATATATCTTGTGTGCATCAAATTGTAAATTTTCGAACAAGGTACAGGAATAATCAGATATCACTTCTGGACCTTTTTCTCACTGACGATCCTAAAAGCATCTTTGATCTTTCTACAGCACCTCCCATTGGTCGCAGTGATCATGTGGTGATTAAGGCGAAAACACATTTAAAAGTTCCACCCAAACAAACACAAAAAATAACTAGGCGAAATTTTCTAACTGCCAATTATGAAAAAATAAATAACTTCATCAGACTGAAACCAACAGGTCAAGTAGATCCACAATTCGAGAACTTCCAGTGTGTTATGAGAGATGCAATGGAGAAATACATACCGGTCAATCAAGTAAAAACTAACCCACAAAAACCGTGGATAAACTATTATTTATTCAGGGAAATAGATAAGAAACGTAGGTTATGGGACATATACATACATATATAAAACAAATAAAACAGTAAACAATTACCAAACTTACATGCTACAAAGTAAGAAAACTAAGCAGAAGTTGCTTGATGCCCGGAAAAAGTATGAAAATGGTCTTGCGAATGCGGATTCACCAAAAAAACTGTCCAAGTTTATAAAGTCAAAACTTGAATTCCAAGGTATCAACCATAAATTCAAAAGATCCTGCATCTGAGCAGTTCTTGGATGGTGTAGCCATGGCAGAGAAATTTGCAGAGCAATTTGACACAGCTTTTACAACTGAAGCTTATCCGGATCCAGCCCTGCATGACAATAGAGTGTCCATCGAAGAAATCCAATTTACAACTGATAAAGTAGCGAACAAGCTCTGAAATGTATGAAAAAAGACTCAAGCCCAGGACCTGATGAAATTCCAACAGCTTTTCTTCAGAATTGTAGTGTCACAATTATTAGCCCATTGCTTGCGGGGGTGATGCAGGAATGTCTGCTTCAAAAAAAAATTCAGCTCCTTGGAAATATTCCATGGTCACGCCACTGTACAAAAAAGGACATTGACATAGGCCAGAAAATTATCACTCTATCAGTCTCACTTGTAATCCGCTGAAATGTATAGAGAAAATTATAGTTAAGGAACTAACATCTTTCTTTCTAGAGAACAATCTCATACCTTCAGCCCAACATGGATTTCTACCAAAACGTTCTACCACTAACAATCTTTTGGAATGTCTAAATGATTGGACAAACAACCATGACAATGGCCTACCAACAGATGTTATCTATCTAGATTATGAAAAAGCATTTGGCAAAATCCCTTATAACCTGTTATAAGTGAAATTACAGCACTTTGGAGTTAGAGGAAAGTTGCTTGCCTTGATCAAAGATCTACTAGAAGATAGATTTTTTCAAGTAAGAGTAAATGGAGAGCTTTCCAGTCCCCATAAGGTAACCAGTGGCGTCGTGCTGGGTTCGGTGATCGGTCCGGTGCTATTCACAGCGTATCTTTTTGATTTGATGGAATTAATACAATCAAGTATTAAATTGTTTGCAGATGATTGCAAAATCTATGCAAATCCTTCGATAGATGCGAATTTACTTTAAACTGGTCCATTGAACAGTGGTCAAAAACATAGGGAATGAAATTGAACTCCTCAAAATGCACAGTACTAAGGATTGGCCCAAATACCCTAACAAAGACTATATTCTTAATGACTCTGCTTTGACATCAGTAAATGAACAAAATGATCTGGGAGTTGTAGTAACAACCGACTTGAAGTGGGAGAATCACATAATTAAAATAACTAAAAAAGCTATCTCCTACGTATACTTAATTAACCGTGACTTTATAGAGACCACTCCATCGAGATGATATCTACCCTTTACAAAAGCTACATAAGGCCAAAAATAGAATATTCCTACACTGTGTGGAATCCATATTATATTGAAGATATAGAACTTCTTGAGAAGAATCAGCGCAGAAAGACAAAAATTCCCTCACAGTTGAAACAGGTGCCATATCCGGAAAGATTACTCAAATTCAATTTGACATCCCTTAATAAAGAACGTACAGAGGCGATTTATTTGAAACCTACAAATAACCAGTGATTACTATCAGTGTAATCTGATAAATATTTTCCATCTATGTCGAAATTCTCATCTTCGTGGCAATTCTAAGAAGCTTGAAAAGGAAAGATCATCAAACTACCTAGGAAAAACTTGTGTAGTGCATTCTTGCATTACACAAGTTTCAACACAATTTGCGTTGCCAAAATACAGTCTCAGCACCAAACACTAATATTTTTAAAAATCGTGTTGACAGAGAATTGAAAGAATACACAGAAAGAATAATTCATTATGGTGCATAAACTAAATCTCCACATATCCTTTTAAAATTTTGTTAAAGTAACAATAGCTTCATCGGTTTCGACCGCCTGCTATTGTAATTTTAATAATAATAATATTAAACACAATTTTAAAATTCATTATAAGCGGAAAACTAGTTGTGCATTATTTTTGTTTACCAGCCTAACTATCTACATACATAATACTAAGTTGGGTAAGTACGTAAAAATAAAAAACATCCTACCTGAATAAAGCATTTATACTACTTCTACCTTTCACTGGAAGCAAATGGATCGACTACATGCCATCTTCTACTTTGAGCAAATGCGTCACTTTTATTCATACGACCCAATATGTCAAATAGCATAACCCCCTCTACCTAAAGCAAGATTAGGAATATTTAGGTTTAAATCATCACTGTTTTTTTCCCAAAAAACCCTAAAATACAACAAGCAAATTTCTTGGCTTACCTTAATCAACACGGACCAAAAACTATGTTGAATTAAATTCCATTTTTTATTTTGCGCAAAAACAACCCAAACTAATTTTAAACCATCTCTTTTCCTGACAAAAACATGATAAGTAATTATAAAAATGGTAAAAACTCATAATCCAATTCTCCTCCTAGAGGCTGCAGCTTAATAATAAGCTAAAATAAATTTACCAATGACGATAAAATAGAGAGAATATTTATGTAAAAAAAAACAGTATAAATTTTGATATTAAATTAAACAAAAGAATGCATTAAATCACCAAAAGATTAAATTTATAAATAGTAAGTGAAATATGTAAATGTCAAATAATATAAAACATTTAGGTCCAGGGATTCTGGAGCATCTCCGCTGACAACTGCTATTGGATAGATGGAGATGGGGTAAACTCTGAAAAAACAGAATAAAAAACAACAAACAACGACAGATGTAAGTTTTAATTTATAATCCATACAGTAGGGTGCAGTTGCACTGCTAAATACATAATACATACACTTAAGATATACTTAGATCAAAATACAAATACGCTCATTAAAATTGAAACCTGTCTATTTTGAAGCAGTATTTAATTTTCTAAGGGTAATATTATTATGGAATACCTAAAAATTTGTACCATTGAATTTTATTTCAACCATTTTTGAAAGGCAATCCTTACCTTGTTGATGGCTCAACCTGTTGATAATTAAGCAATCACAAATAAAATATAATAAGACATAAAAATTATACCTTTTTATAAATCACCAAAAAATAAATAAAAGCAAAGATGGTTTGGAATTGGGGGAAAATACCTTATAAAATAAATACTGCATTGTTATTATGTCAAATATAAAGCAAAAAAACGTTATTTAAAAAACAGCAAAACTTATTCACTAAACTAAATTATTATTCAGAAACCCTTTTAAGACAATGTCGACATAAATATATTTTATACGAATAAATTCAAAGTAAACTTAAATCAATGTAGATCAGTTTCTATCCACTGTGCACCCATATTTAGGAAATAAGAAAGGCTTGATTAAGTCTAAAGGAGTGTGATTTTTAAAATATGGGTATTAAATCTGTGTGCAGTCGACCTTGGTTAGAGGGCAGCTTTAAATCTGGAAATGATACATAAAACTGATATTTTGCTGCTCACTGGAGTAAACCTGGAAGAGAACTATGTAAGGTACTGTCAAATGGTGAAAATTTAAAACTGTGGTCAGGGTGCTCAGCCAATGTAAATTCTTTATGCCTGCAAGTATAGCAAAGAAAAGACTTGGACAAATCCTTACCAAACCTGAACTTGTTTTCACTTTTTATACTTGCAGGTGAGCTATGTTTCTAGATAGCAAAAATAGCAAGTACATATGATTGACATAGGGTGTGGTTTATTTTGAATAATAACAACCAGGCAACATTCCAATAAAAACCTCAATCTTCTTCAAGCTAAAAAATATGGAAGACCCATCTTCTCTTTGACGGTTTTTCTTATTGAATAGAAGTCAGAAATCTTTCTTTTTTTTTCCATTTTCTACTCTTTTTCAATTTACTATCATGAATTCAATCAGCCAACATAAAAAGTATCATCCTCTGTGATGACTCAATTATCTTATTTCTTGGCATATGGAAAGCAATCATTGCGATAACTAAAATTGCAATTGTTGCCGATTCTAGACAATCTCCGTTCCATATTTATACTGGTAATGACAATTTGTCTCTCGGGCTTAATAATATTATTTGTTCTCCAAAACCCACACTTTTTCTTTCAGTTTCATATAACGATAATACCTATAATAATTATAAAAGCCAGGTCTCAACAGGTGGTTTTGACTTCTTGAAATGCCAAGATTAGATTGCAGTTTGCAGACTTGATACTCACCCACATGTGCAAAATATTAAAAAAAAAGGGAAAGAAATGGGATTCTTATCTCTCGCAGGCATTCCCTCATTTCCGATATTGTTTGATTGGTATCAGTTTTTGAAGAATTTTTGATGTATTTATGCTTCTTCTAAATTTTTCAGCTTAGAAAAGATGGTTTCCACGTACATTGTACAACAAAATATTGCGAAAATTAAGTTGTTATTAAACATGATCAATAAAATTGTCCAGTTCCCTGAACCACTAGAGCCTCTCTCTGGATCTAGACCACGGCCTTAAAACGAAACAACAGTACCTTACAGTTAGATATAAAAAGCTACTATGAAAATAATATGTCCTGAAAATAAATGTCATGTATCCAAACCAAAGAAAAATAAAATAAAATAGTGTATGCAAAATAAAACCTAACGACCAATGCAAACCAAAGAGTGTCAACTTACCATAAAATTTTTAATTGGAATCTGAGGGTGGTGCACCTGCGGGTTGACCACCATATCCATACTGTGGGAAACTGTAGTTTTGTTGCCCTGCAACTTGTGCTTGGGGTTGACCACCGTAGTAGCCTAAAAGTATAGTCCAAATTTAAACTGTTGTTTTATTTAATAACAATTTATTGTTCTTACCGCCAGCTGCTTGATACCCGCCATACGATTGTTGCTGATATCCACCAGGCGCGCCAGTTCCACCTGCAGCGCCCTGTGGCCCTGGCACTCCTGGAACTCCGCCCACTGCACCGCTAGTCTGAAGTAATTTTTGAACCGTTAGCAATTATTGTTTTTTGATATTAATATTTAAACATTTACCTTGTTTTTCATCTGCGCCTCTATTGCTTCGGCTTCCTTAATTTTACCTATGCTCCTGTAATATTCAGCCCATTGGCTACTGTAATCTGGTTGGCCGCCTGCGGCGGCCCCGGCAACACCTGCGACAGCGGGAGGAGCAGTGGTAGTTTGAGCTGGTGGAGCAGCAGGAGCTCCAGTAGCGGTTTTTGCTTTTGCTTGTTGTTCGATCATTTCTGCTTCTCTGTGCATGCCTAACGACCTGAAAAAATGTTTGGGTATATTAATATGACAGGATGTTTTAGAAATTAGGGCAGCAGTGCATAAAAAGAAGTTTACTTTAAAGTAAATACAACAAGTACAAAAAAAAGCATTCACTATTAAGTATAAATATAGCCTACTAGTTTGAGTGAAAACGTTACATTTGAAATGCATTTCACTTAAACTTAAACTTCAGAATATACAGGGTGTTTGGTTCATCGATAGGAAGATTTCAATGAGTGATAGTTGGGGTTATTTGACAGCGTCTTAGCCATATGGCGGATGAAGTCGACGATCCGCCGAATCCGGCAAACAAAGGTTGCAAATATTGTAAAAATAATGTTGTTAGTCCAATAGTGAAATGTGTATTGTGTTCAGCAGTATCTCATCCCTCCTATTCGTTAAGGATGGCAGGATTGGTGGTGGTTGGAAAGAATAATTTAGTGAAATGTTGTTACAATGAAAGTGAGATTAGACCTGGAGAAGCTATAAACAGTGTTTTAATGGCTAAAGAAGAAGTCCTGAAGAGCAAAGAGAAAATTATTTCCAAACTACGAGCTAAGGAAGTTATGTTATATGACAATATCAAGCTTTTAAAGGAAAAAGTAGAAATTTATGAGGCCCAGAACAAAGGTAAATTTGGCAACGATGATGTTGACGCTGACGCAACCGACAAATCCTCCAGAAGAAACCATAAGTTTCTATTACCAGAATGTAAGGGGTCTTCATACAAAAACCCACGATTTTTTTTTGCCAGTATGCTCACTGAAGATTATGACATAATTGTGTTAACCGAAACATGGCTAACTAATGGGATCGAGAACTCTGAGCTATTCAAAAGAATAGTGTCTTTAGAAAGGACCGAAATAATGATAAGTCGATGGGAGGTGGTGTACTTATCGCTACAAAGGTACATTTTGCAGTAGAAGTTATTAATATTGAATGCAATAGAAGTATAGAGTGCCTGCTTTTGAAGATTAAGTAACAGAAGAATATTTTTTTATTTGTCCTGTTTATAGTACATATATATTCCACCTAACAATAATTCATGTGAGTGTGTTTGATGCATTTGAGCCGTTTCTTTCTGGCAATATAGATTTTACCCTTATGGGTGAATTGAACGTGCCAAATTTTTCTATGAAAGCCTGTGATAGGACCTACCTTATCTATCAGCTCCTAGAATTACGTAGTCTGACACAAATTAATGCTATATTTAACTGAAGGGAAAGGTTGTTAGATCGTTAGATCTTATTTTTAGTAATATGAATTTCGTAGATATTCATGAATGTGATAATCCCCTAGTCAGTAAAGATATGTATCACCTGGCACTAAATACGTTAATGATATTGAATGGTAGTGGTACCCAGTCTGATGAAAATAACAACATAAAGAAAAGCTTTTATTATGATTACGCAAATGGCAATTTTCCCATGCTTTATCATCTGTTAAATACAGCAGATTGGTCTAATATATACAGTGTATCTGATTGTGATGAATGTGTGCAGATTTTTTATGATAATGTATATAAATGTATAGACCAAGCTATCCCTTAAAAGCTTGACAAGGCAAGTAGTGGCCGTAAGTATCCAGTCTACTTCTCAGTTGAATAAGTTAGGGACATTAGGAAAAAGAACAAGTTACATAAACTGTGTAATTCAGGGAATGCAACAGATTTGCAAATCACTGAATACAGGAATCTAAGACGTACTATTAAACACCAGACTAAAGCTGAATTTAGGTCATATCAACAAAAAATTGAAAAGAACATAAATGTATGTAAATCCTAGCAGTTTTTGGTCATATGTTAAAGGAAAAAGTAAAAACAATTGTATCCCTCATGTAATGAATTTTATCAATCAGGCCTATGATGTATCCTCTCCTGTTATTTTAACAGTTGTGTTATAGCTCAAAACCTATACCTGTCTCTATTTTCACGTGTAGAATAAACAGTGACAGATAACTTAACGTTGCTGTTAAAATAACAGAAAATGATACATCATAGGCCTGAATGTTAGTTTTAGTGTACCACAGTGTATAGCAGATGCCTTTGCTCAATACTTTAGTTCAGTTTTTCAAAAATCTACAACAATTGATAAAAACATTTATTATGAGGGAAATTTCATCTTTCCTAAACTGATCGAAGAAAATGTCAGACTCAGCATTAAAAAACTTAAATCCAAAAAAGCCAATGGTGTGAATAATGTTCCACCCTATATTTATAAAGGCTATGTAGCTATATTTGTAAAGCCCCTTGTACAGGGTGTCCGAATTTGGATGGTTTTAATAGGAAACGTCAATTTCTGAGCGAGATACAAAAATATGAACCCCCCACTCCGAGGCTCAGCTTTCTTGAAATTTTGATTGGTGCAAACCGCATTTTGATATCTTCAACCGTTTAGCCGCTAGAGGGCGATTCTCGATTTTGAGCAATACTGTAAAATCTTCATAACTTTTTTGTTTATAAAAATAACTGATTTCCGTAAAAACTTCCTACAAGCACTTTTTCAAGCAGAATTCAGTGACGTTTTCAGTTTTTTTCTATTGGGCCTCGATTTCAAGATATTGACCAAAATCCGATTTTTTCCAATGGGGCACCCTATATATTAATAGCTCATTAGAAAGCTCTGCTTTTGCGGATTTCAATGATACAAATTTCGATAGGTTTATCTCAAACAGTTTTTGAGAAAAAAAAATATTTCGGGGTTTCGGGGTGTCACTTTGAGCTGGCTGCAGTCATATTTAACTAATAGAAAACAATTTGTAAAGGTTTTAAACGATTTGTGAACAGGTCAGGGCAGTAAGCATGGGGTTCCTCAAGGCTCAGTGCTGGCCCACTTTTGTTTCTTATAATATATATTAACAATCTAGCTCACATTAGCAATAATGGAACCTTTACATTATTTGCTGAGGATACATCAATATTGTGGCTAGGAACAGATCCTGACATATTAAGGGATATTATTAATAATGACATTAGGGTGATAATGGACTGGTGCAAAAGCAACAAATTGATATTCAACATTGCAAAGACTAATATTTTGATGTTTAAGGGGTCTGTAACAGACATTATTCTAAATAATCTCCCATTAAGTAATAGAGAGAGCTATAAGTTTCTGGGAGTTTTCATTGATACAAAATTAAAATTTGAGGATCATATACAGGTCATGCAAGAAAAATTGGCATCGGCATGCTATGCTATAAAAATGGCAAGGATGGATTCAAGCCAAGATGTTACAAGGGGAATATATTTCGCCCTTGTGGAATTGCAGTTGAGGTACGGAATTCAATTTTGGGGTTTTGCAATCAACTTATACAGTCCGTCTTTGTACTTCAAAAGCGGGCTGTAAGACATTTGTGTGGAGTTGGTCCTAGGGAGCACTGCAAGCCATTATTTATTCGGGACCTTGACCTCTATTTTTATTCTTATGATAGTCGACATGGTCCACAATAGTATAGGAATCCAGTCGATAATTCAGTAAGAGTGACAAGATTCAACAATGATAATTTGAGATTGCCTATCCCTAAAACTACTTTGACAAAAAACAAGCATATGATATGAAGGGGTAAAAATGTTTAAATCACCTGCCTCTGGAACTTAAAAACTTAGAAAGCAATAGGATTTTCAATAAGCATGTTAAAACGCTATTGTTGAGTAAAGCCTATTACTACTTGACCAATTTTACAATGATAGATTTTAATTATCTAGTTTTTTTTTTTAATTTATTTTGTTTTTAATTTTGTTATTTATTTTATTGTTTTTAATTGTTATCGTTTTTAACTTAAGTACCACGTTTGCACGTAACTTATATCTTTATTTTTCTTTCCAGCTTTGTAAGTGAGTGTTGTACTCTTTGTACAATTAAGCATTTTTGATAAGATTTGATTTGAATATTTTCATAGTTCTTTTTCAGACCAACAGCATGGTTTTTTGCTGGATAGGTCCACTGTGACAAATCTTTGTCTGTTGACCTGTAAGGCTTCGGAAGCAATAAATAACAAAAGCCAATTGGATGTCATTATGACTGATTGCACAAAAGCTTTCGACAAGGTCGATCATGGTTTATTAATAAGTAAATTAAGTAAGTTCAACTTCTCTAAAAGTGCATGTAGGCTGATTGAATCTTATGTTGAATCTAGGTCAATACAAGTTAAAGTGGGTAGATGTTTGTCTTCTGATTTTATTGTGACATCCGGTGTCCCTCTGAGGAGCAATCTGGGGCCCTTACTATTTACATTTTTTGTTAATGACTTGCTCTCATGTGTTAAGCACTCATCTTGTTTCATGTATGCATATGACTTTAAGGTATATAGGGAAGTGTGTGATACTGAAGATTGTAGAAAGCTATAAAGTGACCTCAATGGGCTCTTTCACTAATTTTTGAAATTGGCATATTTGGATAAAGCAACTAAAAACAGAATTTTCTGTATTTTTACTTTTGAAAAATTCAAAGTCCTTCTTGAGAAAACAGAAAACAAAGAAATACCTCCAAATAAAAACCCAGAATTTATTTATATGACGTCGCAGCTCGCAATTTGACCGTGTTGCCACTAATTGTCAACATTGAAAATTTGTAATAGATTTAATTCTGAAATGTTGGCAAAATCTCATGAAAAGTAGTTAAATTAATTAGTTATAGATTCAAGATTTTATAACATTTTTTTTTTAAATTATGCTTAAATACAATTTAATGCAATTTTTTATGTTTAGTTTTATTTATTTATTTTACGCTGCACTACATTTAGTCACAACCGACAACAGCGCATTCGAACCTTTACGTATCTTTACAGAGCGCAAACACAGCCGAGCCCTTCCTCCTTGCAACGACATAAGCGAAATGAAGAATATTTATGTGACGTCGGCAAATCGGCGCGTTTTGAAATAGTTTGAATTTAGGCACTTTTGATTGCCTATGAAAAACTTATTGAACCTTGTAGAACATTTTTTTTTTGGTATATATGCCTAAAATAGTCCCTCCTTTGAGATTTTATACTTAAATTACG